TGTCAATTTGTAAAACATTACCGCACCTCATCAAGTTCAAGAATCAATAAACAAGTTGAGTATGTTTTTGAAGTAGTTCATTCAGATATTTGGGGTCCTTGTCATGTTGTGTCTAAAACGCAATTTAAATATTTTGTTACGCTTGTAAATGATTTTTCTCGAATGGTTTGAATATATTTTATGAAAAATTATTCTATCACTTTTGTGTCTTTCATACAGAGATCAAAATTTAATTTAATGTCCTATACATAAATTACAAAGTGATAAGATTAGAGATTAGATGTCAGATTCATTTCAGAATTATCTGACTCAACAAGAGATCACTCACTAAACTTCTTGTGTTGGCATACTCTCTCAAAACGGTTGAGAGAAAAAACAAACACTTACTTGAGAGTACTTGAGCCCTTTTGTTCTAAACACATTTCCCTAAGAAATTCTGGACCGATCCTGTTTCTAACGCCTGCTTCTTAGTTAATCATTTGCATCTACAATTCTTGATGGTGAGATTCCTTACAATATTCTCTTTTCGAATAAGTCATTGTTTTCAGTGCAGTCTCAAATAGTTGGTAGCACCTATTATGTTCGCAATGTGCGGCCTAATGTTACAAAGTTGGACCCAAATGCCTTGAAATGTATTTTTTTGGGATATTCTTACTTTAAAAAAGGATACCATTGCTACTCTTCAGATCTCAATAAATATTTGATATCAACTGATATTGTTTTTCGGAGATTACAAGTCAGAGAGAAGACAATGAGTGGCTCATCTATAAGGTTCACATTAAGTGTCTCTCTTCAGCAAACAAATAATGGTGTCTCTTCGAATAATGTGCCTTCAGCCTAGTTGAGCAAACGGATGATGGTGTTGGAATGCCTCTTACCCAAGTACCACCATCAATTATTCGTGTTTATTACAGAAGACAACAGATTAATGATACATGTCCTGCACTAACTTTTCGTCATTTGATCCTTCCCCACATGACCTTGATCTTCCTATCAGTATTCATAAAGGTAAATGTCAATGCACCTTTCCTAACTCTATTTATCCCATTTCTAACTTNNAATCACCCTGGTTAGCATAATACAATGTGTAGGAGATAAATGATCTTGATGAAAATCATACTTAGAATTTAGTAAATTTACTAAAGGTAAAAAAGCTGCGGGGTGTAAATGAGTCTTTTCAGTTAAAGTGAATTCAAATAGCTCAGTGGCAAGAGTTAAAGCCAGACTTGTGACAAAAATTTTTGCTCACACGTATGGGGCGGATTAATTTGATACATTCTCTCCAGTGGCCAAAGTTACATATGTCTGTTTATTTATCTCTATTGCAATCTCCTAAAACTAACACTTACACCAGTTGGATGTTAAGAATGCATTTCTTTATGATGATCTCTTAGAAGAAATGTATACGGAACAACCACTTAAATTTGTTGTTTAGGAGTATGAGAAAGTCTATCATTTGAATAAATCTTTGTATAGTTGGAAGCAGAGTCCCCATATGTGGTTTGGTGAATTAGTTTTAGAGTTTGGACTGAAGAAGAGCAAGTGTACTCACTCAGTCTTTTATAGATAATCAACAGTTAGTATTATACTTCTTATTTATATTAATGATATTGTTATTATAAGAGATAATGATACAAAAATATCTTCTCTCAAGTCATTTTTGCAAATCAAGTTTTAATACCAAAAACTTGAGTCAATTAAAATACTTCATGGAATTCGAAGTAACAAGAAGTAAAAAATGAATTTTTTTATCTCAGAAGAAATATGTACTTAATCTACTTGTAAAAACCAAAAAGCTAGGAGTAAAACAATATAATACACTAATGATGCCAAATGTATATCTTACAAAAGAGATGATGATCTCCTTGATGATTTGAAAAAACACAGGCGACTAGTTGGAAAGTTAGGAATAAAACAATGTAATACACTAATGATGCCAAATGTATATCTTACAAAAGAGATAATGATCCCCTTGATGATTCGAAAAAACACAGGCGACTAGTTGAAAAATTGAACTATCTCATAGTGACTTGTTCAGATATTACATATCATGTCAGTGTTGTTAGTCAATTTATATCTGCATCTACAGTCAAACATTGAAAAGCTCGGGAACAGATTTTGTACTACTTAAAAAGTGCTCTGGGATTTAGCATATTATTTAGCAATTATGGGCACCTTCACATTAAATATTTCGTAGATGTTGATTGGGTTGGATATAGAATTGATAGACAGTCTACTACGGGTTATTGCATTTTTGTTGGTAGGAATCTTGTATCATGAAGAAGTAAGAAGCAGATCTTGTGTCTCGATCCAGTGTAGAGTCCAAGTATAGAGGTATGACTCAATCCATATGTGAACTCTTATAAATACATCACCTTTTAGCTGAAGTGGGTTTGAAACCCATATCACCTGCAAAATTCTGGTGTGAAAATTAGATTGTCCTTCATATTGTCTAAAATCCAGTGTATCATGAAAGAACCAAACATATCGAGATTGATTGTCACTTCATCCGTGAGAAAATTTAGGAAAACTTGATTTCTACTGATCATGTGAAGACAAAGGAACAATTAGGTGATAAATTCATAATGACTCTAAATAGAACTCGGACTGAGTACCTTTGTAACAATTTGGGTATGATTAATATTTATACTTCAGTTTGAAAGGGAATGCTACAAGATTACAGAATATTCCCGTGTATAATTGTGTGATTATCCTTTTATATATATTAACATAATTATAGGCGCCAAATTAATAGAGTAATTTATGTCGGTTACTATACATAAACCCTTCTATATGTATATATATCCCTAACATATTGAAATAAAATATAAGAAATATTTTACCTATTTTCCTTGTTATTTTACAAGGGGGAAACCTCGAATGAAGATTGGTGTCATTTGAACTTAGTTTTTATGATCCATCTTCGCCAATCACTTTATTCAATCATCATATACCATTTATATAAGGAAATTTAAACTCAGGGGAGATTTGAAATTATTCAATCATCATATACCATTTATATAAGGAAATTTAAACTCAAGGGAGATTTGGAATAATAAAGGAGAAAAGATATATTAGTTTACTGATGAAGATCTAAGAAAAAGTACAATGAGGATTTCATTACCCAAAGCATTAAAAAAATTAGAACTGGTGATAGCTCTGACAAATCATGAGGCATCTGAGTCAAAACAAGCAATAAGTGATTCTTTATTACTTAATAAGTCTGTTGATTTGAGTCTTCCTATTGCTTTTAGAAAACTAGCTCAGTCGTATACTCTTTATCTTTACTCAAAATACATGTTTTATGATGCTTTGTATACAAGATCGTATCTTTATCTCTAATTCTGAAGGGAGAAAAATTCCAACAGATATATAGGAAACATTACGAATTCCTAAGTGGAGTAAGGCAGTCATGGAAGAGATGCAAGTATTGGAAAGAAAATGCAACCTAGGAACTAATAGTGTTGCCTAAAGGCAAAAAGACTGTTGCTTGCAAATGAATGTTTACATTGAAATACAAGGATAATGGGATTATTGGAAGATATAAATCTCCATTAATTGCAAAAAGATTCACTCAAACTTATGTAATTGATTATATAAAAACATTTGCACCATAGGCGAAAACTAAGCTCAATCCGAGTTTCTTCTATCTTTAGCAATCAATCTAAATTGGCCACTTCAGTAGTTGGACATTAAAAATGCATTTTTTAGTGACAATTTAGAAAAAAAGGGTATATGACAATGTCACCTGGGTTTGATATAGGAACATATTAGATCTATAAATTGAAGAAATCTCTATACGGGCTCAAAGTCACTAAGAGCATAACTTGATAGGTTTTTTAAGGTGATAAAAGAACAAGGATACCAAACAAGGATAATCTGATCATTTTATTTTCTTTTGGGTAGTCTAGTAGTGGAGGAAAATAATCATAATTGTTTATAAATATGATATAATTATGAAGGGTGATGATATAGAAGAAATAGAGGGAAGAAAATTTTGGCTACTGAATTTAAAATCAAGATCTTAGGACCAATGCGATAATTCTTTGGAATGGATGTTGTCAGATTAAAGAAAGGGATAATCATTTCTCAACAAAAATATGTATATGACATCTTAATTGAAATTGGCATGCTGGGATGCAAACCGACCAATACGTCGATTGAGACAAAGAAGAAGATGGAAGCAGGCAGAAAACTAGTTGAAACAGGAAGGTATTAGAGATTAGTTGGCAAACTAATCTACTTATCACATATTCGACTAGATATTGTCTTTGCAGTCAGTATAGTTAGTCAATACATACTCGACATCAAAAACTCGCTTAAATACTATTTACAAGATTCTCAGATATCTCAAAAACTCTCTAAAAAAAGGTTTATTCTTCAAGGAGAGTGAAGCAAAGAGAATAGAAGTATTTATATTTGTGGATTGTACGAGTCCAACGAAAGATAGAAGGTCTACTATTGGTTTGCTTAGGAAAACTTGGTCACATAAAGGAGTAAGAAACAAATATGACGGCAAGAAACAGTACTGAAACATAATTTAGAGTAATGACACAGAAAAATTGTGATATAATTTGGAAGGCAATAATCCAAGTTGTTGGGATGAGTTTTTATTGATATAATTTGGAAGGTTAAAAGCTCTTGCTAAGGTTACGATATTTTCAAGAATTTTTTCTTTCCTCTGTAGTTCTTCAGAGATAGACCGTTTTTATTGCCTTTTTTGTGGCCCGTTAGGGGTGATTTCTTTAAAGATATTTCTTTGGCCACATTGTAGGGAGATTGAGATGCAATTGTTCTGATTTTTATTTAACTCATTTTTTACCTTAATTTGTCAACATGGGAGGGTTTGTTATCCTCTACTTATATGTTTTTCTTCCTCTATCTAATAATATTCTTTTTTTTTTGTCAAAAAAATTATGAGAATAAGGTAATGTCAAGTTGTAATTTGTCTTAAGAAAAAGCCACATTGTAATATATTGAAATGATATCTCTAAACTCAGGTTGGAAAAGCTTATTTTGAGCTAGTGGATTACTTAAATGCTGGACATGTCTTTGGTCTTGCACATCAAATATCTCCATATGCTTTAGAAGGAATGGATAAATACTCTACAGTTCTTTATGTGAGTTTTCGTGCACCAACTATCGTTCTTGGATAATTGTTTTACAAAATTAACACATTTTCCTATGCATGGATTAGATCATGTTCATATATGTCTTTTCATTTATTTCTTTGCTACGATAGAGTGCAAGATAGGCTACATAATTGGTGGAGAGTACAACACTATGATCCCTTCTAAAGCCCGAGTTTCGATAGGCGAGTTTGTATCTCGTATTCAAGAAGCTTTGGAGTTGCATAAAAGATTAAGTTATCCATCACTATTTGTTTTAGAAAGTATTTATCCTAATTTATTTAAAGTTACAAGTTAGAATCATTGGTTTGTAATGCTTGTGAATTTGTAAAACATTCAAAAATTTCTTATTTTTTGACTAATAAGAAAAGTTCTATTTTGTTGATGATTATAAACCGTAATTATTAAGTAATACTCAAACTATGTGATGTGGAACCCAGGATCAACACATGCAATCCAAACCACCACATATAACATTAGCATACAGGAACTTAAATCACTAAATAAATCATTCCTACTTAACCCACAATCAACATGCGAAGGTGAACTAAGGTAATAGAGAATTAAGAAATAGAATTAAAAACACGCAACAAGAATACACTGATAAGTAAATTCAATTTCTAACTCAACGAGACTGTTAAAGAACCTCTCCAAAGAGCTCTCATAATTAGTAAAACTAAAAGTAAGAATAATTCTTGGATTTGATTAATTTGAAAGTGATCATTACGGCCTAATGGTGAGACCTTTATATAAGTATAAACCTTACCAATTCTACTTGAACTCAAAAAGTAAAATCATGTAATAATTCTAATTGCAACTAATCTAGAAAACTATTAAAGTAATAAATAAATAGACTTAAATTAAGTAGAATAAAAAGACTTTTCTCTTGCAAAGTGGTGGTGTTGTGGCCGAATTCTCTATGCTTTATTTTAGTTGGATTTGAACTTCAATATTTAATTGATTCTTTGGTGAAGGAGTGTTGAAGATGCCTTAAAAACTTCCAATTTGAAGTAGAAACAATTCATTTTCCATGAGAAAATCAAAGAGAAAATTTAGATTTTTTAGCATGAGATGAAGTATAGTGTAATCCCAGCTAAGCCTTGTAATAATAGGATTCTTCTTTTCTTATCTTGATAGAACTCTAAATTGATGAAGACTCTCAGTTTTGATGATGTAGATCTCTTGAAACCTTGGCTTACTTAGTAGGATAAGGATTCTTAAATCCTTATAAGATTTACTTGAAGTTGAAAACTATTCGTGTGGCAAATGGTGTTCAGCTAAGAGTGTGGAAGAATGAATAATCAAGTGCCTAAGATTTTTAAGACTCTTATTATTCACATGATTAATATGCCCTAGAAGATATGAGTGTTCGGTTATTACTTTTCCAAAAAGAGTAAATGGATGTCTCATGTGAAATACCTGAGAGTCAATGATTGAAAAAACTCTTTTGGCTGTTTGCTTGTAATCATCTTTGTTATAGGATCTTAATATGAGTTGCCCCCCCCACCCTTTGCTTGCATCAACAACATTTTCTTTTTAAAGCACCCTAGTCTCTCCTTCATTAAGTGAACAAAAAAAGAAAATTTCTAAACAGCGACTGTGCATTAGCATGTTTCCCTGGCTACTGCCAGGAGGTGATCAACACTGCCTCCACCAATTTCAGAAGACCTCAATTGAAAAACTCCAAAGTCCAACAACAGAAATTCATAGGAATCCTCCTCACTCACCAGTAATTCAAGAGATATTAGCTCCTATTAAAGTTGTTTTTGTTTTGCTCCTTTCAATAATCTTGTTCTACCTCTTGCTATGGTGGTTCCTATTCATAATGTTTGCACTAAAGAGATTTTTAGCCATTTCATTTTATCTTGTTGGTTTCATGATCGTAAGAAACCTATAATTTTGTATGCTTTCATTTTTGTTTAAAGATTATCTAAACTCCCACATTTTTTAAGATTTGGAAGATCAGGTTTGAGCTTTTCCAATTTCTATGCTTTGCCTCTTCAAATTTGAGGTCGCGTTTTTACTAAGTGGTGAATAATAATGCAGAAAGAAGATCTTAAGTTCGAGTAAATTTCCTACTAAAGAAATCTTTTGTAATTGTTTTTATTATTTTATATTTTTAAACTTATTTAGGTTTACTTACACATAAGATAATTTTGTTTTCTTTTAGGTAGATTTTAAATTTAATATGAAGTACGATCTTTTAGATTTTCTCTTTTATACTTGGGACAATAATATTTTACTTTTTTTTAGATAGATTTTAGTTATTATAAAAATTAGAATCTTTTAGATTTCTCTTTTATAATTCTCTTTATTCCTTGTAGCTAATGTTTATATAAAGACTTGTAAAAACCAACAAAGAAAAGAAAGACAATGATGAATTCAAATTTCCTTTATTGGGTTTTATTCCCAATGATCTCTCTGTGTTTGTTCTTCTGGTTGTTATTCTCTCAAATGTTTCTCGTTTATTCTATTTTTGTTAAATTTATCCACTTTGATCCCTAATTTCCTCTAGTCTATCTATATTCTTTTGTTGCTCACCCAAATTTCCTCTATTTTTAAACTATCTGTTAGATAAGTTAGCTTAACCGTAACTCTTCCTGCATTAATTACCTGCAGTTTATATAATGGGTACATACATGGCTGGAGATGTAAATTAAATGCTAGTCTTTCTTTCTAGATATTGATAATACTTGAAATTCTCATATAGGTATAGAAATGAAAGCATATTGGCAGGATGTTACTAGGCACTCTCTAAAACTTGAATTAGAAGTTTTTTGAAATGAGTGTCTGAAGCATATAACTAGCTGAGAGAGGATTGAGATTGAAGCACTGAAATAAACTAATAAGGAAAAACTTATTCGCGTGAAACAATTAATAAGATTTAAAAGAATGTTTCCACATCTAGCTTTGTCTTAGGATTACATTAATTTCTCATGTTTAGCAATAAGTTGGCTTGTAACAAATGAAATATATATTCACCTAGTATTACTTCCATCTTGGTGAAATGTTTGTTACCCTTCATTTTGCAGCACCTTAAGGAGGATATGAAACTAAGCTACTTGGCACAAGAGCTAATAGCAGTTGATCGCTTAGCTCCAGAATCTTGGTACATTTTTTTGGTATCTTATGGAAAGTGAATACACATAATTTAATATATGAGTATAATAGTAAAATACCCCTAATTTTAATTTTTGTTTTCTTATACTTAAGGTTTTGTATATATATGATTAAACTATTCAATAATATATCATAATATTCTATTCTTCCACATTGTATTAAAGGCATAGAAAAATATCATAACTTCCTTATAAATCGTAGTCGGCTTTTATTGCCAAAACAAAGCACAAAAAACCTTAGATAGGACTCGCCTTCATAATTTCCCACCATCACTAGTAACCAGTGCTCATAACTGAAAGAAACAGTTGTATTCCCTAGTCAAGGATCGAATCACTGGGTAATTAACAACAAAGTTGTCTTTTAACAAAGGGTTAATACCCTTATTCTTATTATGAGAGTAACCTATTTTGTGATAAGAGATTACAACTCATCAAAAGGAGCCGCTATCTTGAATTTTGTTTGAGAAAGCTCCAATATCGTAATTTAAGATAATTTCTGACTTATTTTATTAATAACAAGAATACCTTATT